TGCTCGAATGAGTTTTCGTCACATGACATCGTTTTGCATACTAAATGAGAAACGTAAAGGCGTTTCCGGTTCCGCTTTTTTTAACAAACCGGCTACTGGGACCAAAAATCTAAAATTTAACGCGATAAAATCGTGCGATTTCAAAATGGATCTAATAAAGTGGCAATTGAACTGAGTGGAGTGCAATTTTGGAATCATTCGTATGATTTCAGACCAAATTGCACTCCACTCAGTTCAATTACCATTATGTATCACAAAAATCCATAGCTTAAGTGGTACAGTCGGTGATCAACAGTTTCTACAGCTGACAGACGAACCAACGATAAATCACACCGCTAGTATGATTGTAAGCGCTAGCTTGACATGTTGAAGTTAAATTGCTGTTTTACGTCTTTTTCCCGGTTAAACCAGAAGTCACGAATTCCATGCACCATTCTTAAATGTGTGATTCAGGAAAACCAACATCGAGATGCCTGTATTTTTTTTCTTTATTAGGCGTGTATAGTGCTGATCCAAGAGATAAAGGCGATCAAGTGCTCAAGATTGAGCATTCTGCTTTACAAGAACATGGAAATCAGTGGAATCTGGAAGTCAAATGCAGACCGAAGGGTGGTAAAGCTTCTGCCGGGCACTGGACTAACGTTCGGAATATTTACCCAGATGCTACAAGTAAAGTGAAGCATAATTACATAGAGCTGACTATCCCCTCGGTAGAGGAAGGTCATGAGTTTGCAGTATTCGGAACTCCAGAAATAAAGGATAAGAAAAGAATGCGAATGGGTATATTTGGAGGAAACGCGACACGTGGAAAAGATTGGAACATCTGCGTTACTCTTTTTGATGATACAATGATGGCATTTGAGGTAAAAAAGGAAAAAGTTTAAACGTCTATGTAAACTGAGTGCCTTCATTATTCAACCTTATGATCATTTATAAAGGAAGTAATTAGGCTCCGCTGTTCCCTCATTCTCGAAACCAGACAATTCTTCATGACGATCCATCAGGTAAATAAACAATAGCCACCATTTGGCGCGAAAATGTGCTCGCAATTTGTCCGTGTACTTTATCTGTTAAGAGGAGCGAACAGTTTTCTGAGAGCGTAGCTCTAGTAAAATTGTGAGTTCAGAGG